TTTTGAAATTTAAATTTTCCGCTATTAACCTCTTCGAGCAGTATCTATAATTTTTATTAATCCCAACAGCATATTGGGAGTTGCGAAGTCTGAAAGTGTAAGCACTCGATCCGAGTCTGAAAGATCTACAGCAACATTATTGTTATTTATCAGTTCCGAGGACTGATCTAGAAGTAGACTGAAAACGATCTTAGTTCTTCAACAGAACGCTGCTTTGAATAGAAAAATTTCTCTCAATAGCAGAAATTACGTTTAGCGAATTGTTCTGGGATTCTGTGCAGTTACTGTGGGGAATTGATTGATGGGTTTGGCTGGAACTCAGTAGTGGGCTTGATTTGCAGTAAGTAAGTAGCACTACTGCCAAACTCATGACTGTGATTCGAATTTGTCGATGGGAATGCGATATCTGTTAGATTCTGGTCTGATGATGATCTTTAACCTGTAAATGGGTAATAGCTCTTCTGGGTATCAGTTATAGATATCTTTGCTACCTATTGGTAAATGCTCGTAACATTGGCCATTTCGAATGCCCGTCCTTTTACATATAAGCGAATTAAAATTAAAAAAAGTGGAGTTTTTGCGCGATGAAATTTTAGCCAAATGGATATGTGAAGGGGCGGTGGGGAGCATCAGTCCTCATATAGTAATACTGCTTTTTTGAGTTCCAGGCAAAATTCGGTGTCAGTGCAGCCACTGCTGAATGTGTTTGGTGCTCTCGAAAGTAATCCGGCAGAGGCATCACGATGCATTCGATCATTGCGCCGAAGTTCGTTGCATGAGCAGGTGCAAGCTATGGATGCTGTTGCGCAAGCAATGGGCATCGCACTGTGCCCCACTACGCCAACTCCATTTTCGAACGAAGTTGTTGCCATTTGGAATCGTTTGGAAAATATCATCCCGAGGTCGCTTTGTGAGGTATGTAATTTTGCATTATAAACATGTAAGTTGACCTGATGCAGAAAATATTAAGACCGCCTGGGCAGTCGGTCTTGGAACCCAATTTAGCAATTATTTTGGGATAGTCCGGTCGTAGCTACGCGAAACTCTACAATCTTGAGAGTTCTAATTAGTACTCATTGTTTTTTCGATGAATGTATTTCTACACACAAGCCGCTAGAGTAACAGTTTTTTTTT